ACCGTGACTAAAAGCCAAGGCAAATGTCTCACCCTGTTGACGATTCGTGAACTGGAATTGTTTCTATCAGGATCATAAAATCAATGATATATTTGTCTTTATAGCTGCCTAAAAAATTAAATGGGTAAACACTCACAAGTTACGTTTTTCAACAATAACAAAAATTAAATCAAAAATTGGTAAACGTCCTTTTTGCGTTCTCTGTGTCCAATCCAGTAAATAACTTGCGCTGAATATATTAAAACTCATGTAATCGCAAAATACATTTATTAAATAAATAGCAGAAGCGCTAAACAAAAAATAATGACAAACTATTAGTTACTGTTGAAATTAATATCACTAAATGATGACGATGTAATTAATCTTGGAAGAATAGGTACCCTTGAAGAAATCAGATAATCGTTTACGGTCAATATTGACAAATGTTTTTAATACAAGTGAAAATATCTTACCAAGGTTAGTTTTCTACACCAAACTTTCATTAGACTTCGCAACACAACCTTTCAAGANGGTGTTACGAAAAAAGGGAAATAAAGTTTTTGTCAAATGGTTAGGTTACGATCACAAACATAATTCCTGGATTGATAAAAATAATGTATTGTAACATGCTATATTGTATAAGAATTGTAATAAACAAGAACAAATAAATGATAAAACTTTCTGTATTTGATTTTTAATTAAATCATCAACCTTACTACTAATGATAGATCCATATATAAATAATACTTCTAGTTCTGCACGAACGGTCATCAACCTCTACCGCGCAGACGTCAGCCGATGTGACGTAGCCGGCTGAAAGCTATGCCGATCCTGCTCCAGTCGCCATCTTGAATTGTGGAGCAGAATCGGCACAGCTATTCTACTAATATCAATCATCGATTGGATAACATTTTACAAATGTTTTGTTTATTATTGAATTCAATACAAATAATATTTTATGTTACTACCTAATATTAACTAAGCTTTGTAAAATGTTGCACAATGCATGCTTAAATATGACATACTGAATACTGGCGATGGTTTATATATGAATATTTTAATAGTTTTCCTTAAAACTACGTTCTAATCTCACAAATATAACTCCAAATTTGAAATAAGCAGCATGGTAGTAAATAATTACCAAAACAATATAACCTAGCCTTGTAAATATTTTTCTAACAAGGCAATTTTCTGTTTCTCAATTTCTATTTTTTCCTGTTCTATTTTCATTCTCTCAGTAGATTTTAGAAATGTCTGTGTAGCATTCAAACGTGTTTTTTTTGTAGATGGCTCACCAGGTAGTTCACTGGCACTTTCTACTTCTGTTGATGTGTTTCCTCCACTACCAGATATTATTGAATTATTGAAAGTATATACTTTCATTCCTAACCTAATATAATATAACGAATAACTAATAATAACTAATAATAAACTAACTAATACTAAACTAATAATACTTAACTAATAATAAACTAATAATAATAACTAATTTCCTTACCTAATATAGGTAACGCAACACTGCTTGTAGCTACTTATAAAAACGTACAGACTCCCATACTCTGTAGTTTTTCTGTAATTACTATCCATACAGTCTTTCTTTTTTTGCCATATTTAAAATCTTCCGTATGTTCTTCATACACTTTGATCAAAGCTAACGTTTCTACTTCTGACCAAATTTCAGATAATGATGATACTATGCTTCCTGGTAATGAATTTTCATCATTTTATATATTTCTTGAAGACTGTTGAAGTTGATCAAACCATTCCCTATCAATTTCTAAAGTTTCACCGATTTCATAATTTTCATTTTGCTTGGCAAGTTGATATCTTTCTCCTTCTATAAATTACATTTTATAAGTCAATATGTGTATTTTATAAATTATAAAATACTTACCAGATGTCTCAAATATATAGAAATATTCATAAATGTCCACAATGTTAACTATCGTGCTAGACATTATTGTTTAAACTAAGATCCACTGTTAATCCTTGCCGTCTCTTTGGTAAGATTCAAATAAATGACATCATAAATGACTTCATTCATAACCTCAAACGGTAGTTGGATCCTGATTGTATCAAAATGATCACAGAAATTTTACGATCCGCAGCGGAAGAGGGAAAACGAAACGCGATCTTTAAAACCGTATTCCAAATTATCAAAAAACAACATGATTGGAACTGACTTGTTTGATCCAATCATATATGTCAAAAAAAACACAGCTATATATACAGGGTGATTTACAACTTATCCAAAAAAATTTGGGAATAGATGCGGCATGAGAAATGGAGTAAATACTGTAACAAAAATTTTGTAAAATCCTTATAGTTTCTGAGAAAAAAATTATTGAAGTTATAGCACATTAAACCACTACATAGCTGGATAACTGTAGTCTCTAGCGTCATTCGCAATACGCGTGGAGAGCCATGTGACTCCTAATACTGAAATCCGTCGTTGCGTTATCTGTGGTATTTACATCAGTTTTTTTTCTCCTTCATGTGTCTACCTTGTCGTGGTGAAGGGGCTTGCGTGCATCAATGAGTCTGAGGGCCATGCCGACGGCAATTTGCCAGAAGGGTCTCTCATGTCGGAAGGGTCTCGGATGAGATGCCAGACTAACAGCACACAAACCAACACGCCACTACACTCACAACACCATACATCACGAAATATGCAACACTCAACACACACACACACACACACACATGTATACACACACCCTTACACGTTCGGGCACGGTCATTTCAACTCCCCCACCCTTCCGCTGCGAAATACCGAGGCTGGACCCCAGTAGAGAGGTAATCTGGAGAGGTAGCGGTGAAAGAAGCTAGGGATGGTGCACCTAGTGCCGCCTGACAGTATAGAGGCCGACCCTTGCCTAGCCGGCGTAGGGGGCTGCCTCATCATCAGGTGTATAATCCCGGAGCGTGTAGTAGTGCCAGGTGGCGCCTGGATAAGGGCCCTGCTGCACGCTCCGGGGGGCTTCACCAGCGGCTGCCAGACCCTTCTCTCTGGGAAAACGTTCAACCATGGCTGAACAGTGGAAGCGGGGACTTGGATTTCCGTGAGGTTTCATTGTACCGAGCAAAAGCATCACTACAGAGAAAACACCCCTTTCTAAAAAGTCCCATGGAGGACAAAAGGTAGGGGGGGCAAATCCTGCCTCACCTGGTTCACCCTCGAGAGAGGAGGAACTACTAAAGTCCTCTGAAGGTGAAACCGAGGGGTCACAGGAATGTGAAAAGGAATAAGGCTAGGGCAAAGAGAAGGAGGCCAGGAAAGGGTCGCAAGGGACATCAGACCCAGCGCGCCCATCCGAGGCCCAACACTCCATGTCGGCACCAGCGATAGTGGGCCAGGGACCAGTACCTCGAAAGAGGGATCCGAAGGAACCAGCAACCGAGGGCCGGCAAAACCTCGAGGCCCTCAGGCAAGGCGGAAGTGGAGGGAGGACAATAGGGAAGCCAAGAGGCGGTCCTTTGTTCTTCCCACTGCTCCAGCAGCGGTCAGGGAAGGAGGGCCGGGAGGTCCGAAAGGGCAGCCAGGCCCTTCGACCCAGACCAGCCAAAAAAGGTCGAGGGCGGATAAAACAACACCGCCAGAGAGAGAAAGGAAGAGGGTTAGAACCCTCCCATCGTCTTCCGGGGGGGCGCCGTCACATGTGTCTCCCTTGTTAAGAGGGAAAGCGGTGGCGGCGCCGCCACGGAGGGCTGATTGGGGAGTACCTAAAGAAAAGAGGGAAAACCAGGTGGTCATATTATCCAATCGTGAGGATGGTATGATCACCCCCCCCCCCCTGAGGGACAGAGACTGAGGGAAAATCTTGTTTCTGATATGTTTCGGACCATGGTGGGCCCCGAAGGGGGATCTCGAGGACCCGAACTCCGTTTCAGGAACTCGGGCCTGGTAGATCCAGGCTGGTTCCTGGTGACGGCTCAGGATGAGACCTCAAGGGACTGGCTCCTGGAAGGATGGGTACCTCTGGCCGAGGGAGACGTCGCTTACCGGGCAATCCGGGCAAGTGATGCATCATGGCCAGAGAAGGTTGGTTTCTGGCTAAGAAGCCCAGAGGTCAACCTCCCCCAAGTAAGGGCGATGTTGGAACTCCAAAATCGCTCCCTAGAGGTCGCAAGATGGAAGCATCTAGAGACGACAGAAGGACCTGGGGGGTGGCATCTGACCTTTATGGTTGGCCAGGACATATCCAGGCGCCTAGAGGAGGCCGGGTGGGTCCTCTACTTCGAGTTGGTAACTCTGGCGGTGCGCCGGATGCCGACTTGGAGCGGAGCGGTCCGCCAGGCACCCAAGGCGCCAGGGGAGCCCGGGCCGACCTGGGAAGGGAAGTAAGCCCCCCCACTGCACCATCAGGCCCCAAGATGGATACATTGCAGGTGAGGCAAATTAATCTTCAGCACAATCACTCAGCCACCGGGGAACTGGTGAAGCTACTGACAGGTAAGACTGGAGAATTAATTTTAATCCAGGAACCCTATGTTTACAGGAATCGAGTAGTGGGGCTAGGTAGTACCGACTACAATTGCATAGTCGAGAAGGAGGATGGAGCCGAGCCACCTCGGACCTGCATAATGGCGTCCAAGGAACTCCGGATGGTATCACTACCACAACTGGGGACCAGGGATGCCACTGCAGCCATCCTCGAATATAAGGTAAGTGGAATTAGGCGTAAGGTCATAGTTAGTAGCATATACCTCCCTTATGATACTGGTAGACTACCGCCTACTAAAGAGTTAGAAAATATGGTTAATTTTGATAAGAATAAAGGTCTGCCTGTAATGATTGGGTGTGATGCAAATGCTCACCACACGGTATGGGGCAGCGGGGATGTTAACTCCCGTGGGGAGGCGTTGCTGGAATATATAGCAACCACAGACCTGCAGGTCATGAATAGGGGAAAGGAGCCGAATTTGTGAACCGCATCCGGAAAGATGTGATTAACATTACGTTGGCTTCTCAAAGTATTATAGAAGGGATTTCTGGATGGAGGGTCACGGGCTGCATCTCGATGTCCGTTCACAGGATGATCGCTTTCGAGATGAAGTCGGATTCGGAAACAATAACTCTCCGACGAAATCCAAGGGCAACAAACTGGGAGGTATATCATGGTAACCTAGGGAGCTCCCTAGAAGCGAGCAACCGGGGTGAACGAATAACCTCCACAAGGCAGTTAGACAACGAAGTAGAAACCTTAAGCAGTTGCATCGTCTCGGCATATGAGGAGGCTTGCCCTCTCAGGGCGGCAGGTGGGCGCAAGGTCCGCTGGTGGAATAAGACCCTAGAGGGTCTCCGCCAGACGGCCAGGCGTTCTTCAACCGAGCTGTCAGGGAAGGGGAAGGGACCTCTTGGGACGATTACAAAACTGCAAGGCGAGAGTTTAAGAAGGAACTTAGGCGTAGCAAGAGATCTGGCTGGAAGGCATACTGCAGTGAGCTGGAGTCCCTGCCGGAGACAGCCAGATTAATGAAGATCTTAAGCTGCGACAAAAGGGAGAAATTAGAATCATTAAAGAGGGAAGATGGGACTTGGACCACTTCCAGCGAGGAGTGTTTAGAACTTCTGCTGGAAACTCACTTTTCAGGTGGAGGCCATGTCGTCGAGGGCACCAGGGCGGAGCCAATGCCACAAGCAGATTGGCTCCTGGCCGAGGAGCTCATTGGCGACGAGGCAGTAACCTGGGCAGTGAATGAGTTCGAACCCTACAAGGCAGCGGGGCCGGACGGAGTTTTCCCGTCGTTGTTGCAGAGGGGCCTGGACATTCTCTTGCCATGTACGGTGAGGGTGTTCCGAGCCAGTCTGGCGATGGGCTACGTCCCACAGGCTTAGAGGTCAGCCAAGGTGGTCTTCATCCCCAAGGCTGGGAAGGAAGACTACACTGCGGCGAAGTCCTTTAGGCATATCAGTCTCACATCCTTTCTGTTTAAAACGATGGAAAGGATTGTGGATAGGTATCTGATGGATGGGGCGTTGAGTAGATACCCAATCCACACGAACCAGCACGCATATAGGCGGGGCAGGTCCACGGAGACGGCCTTACATAGTGTCACACATAAAGTAGAGAAGGCCCTTCAGTACAAAGAGGTCGTATTGGCAATATTCTTTGATATAGAAGGTGCCTTCGACAAGGCAAAAACTGAGACCATATGCAACTCGCTCCAAGACCGGGGCACATCGCCTATCGTGGTCGAATGGGTGAGGTCCTGGGAGTGGGAGGGGGATGCCCTCAAGGCAGCTGCCTCTCCCCGCTTCTATGGTGCCTAGTAATGGACGGTCTCCTGGAACGCCTAACCTCGGAGGGATACAGTGATGCCCAGGCTTACGCCGATGATGGTGTGGTTCTAGTCCCGGGCCGGTTTTTGGACGTGGTATGCGACAGAATGCAGGGAGCCTGTAGGATCATAGAGAGGTGGTGTGAGGAGATGGGGCTCTCAGTCAACTCAAAGAAGACTGAGATGATCCTATTTACAAGAAGAAGGAAGATAGGTGATTTCAGGGCTCCAATCATGTATGGGAGGCCCCTGACTTTGGTCAGGGAAGTCAAATACTTGGGGGTAATCTTGGACAGCAAACTGTCGTGGGGGCCCCAGGTTGAGAGGATTACCCGAAAATCAGTGGCAACCCTCTGGCAGTTAAGGAAGGTAGTTGGCAAAAACTGGGGACTCAATCCAAGGGTGCTTCACTGGGTGTACACGGCGGTGGTCAGGCCGAGGCTACAGTATGGGGCCTTGGTCTGGTGGCCGTGTGTGGACCGGGTGACGGTAGCCAGGAAGTTGGTGAGAATCCAGAGACTTGCCTGCTTAGGTATTACAGGGGCAATGAGGACGACCCCAACTGCCGCGTTAGAGGTCCTTCTGGGGCTGCCGACCCTTCCTACATGGATTATGAGGGAGGCGATGGCGGCATACCTTAGGATAAGGGACGCCGGCGGTTGGAGAGCTAAAGGACGCACTGAGGGCCATGCTGCCGTGGCCCTCAGGGCGGAGAGGGACATCCCAATATCCGCCATGAGGGTTACGGAAGCAGAGGACCGGCTTAGGTTAGGAAGGAAGTATGTCACCACTTTCCCCTCGAGAGAGCAGTGGAAGCAGGAT